ATTTTATATATATATATATATATATATATATATTGTCAAGACCTAGACTTAGATTATAATACAAATATGATGTATTTGGGATAACTTATAAGTTCATGATCAGTTAAACCTTTAAATTAATGATATAAAGAGTTATTTTCAAGTTTTTAACTTATTATATATATATATATATATATCTAAACTTTGATATATTTTATGTTTGTTTGAAAATATGGTTGTGATTATTTTTTAAGGATTTTTTATGTTAAAATATATTAAAATATTATTTTTTTATTTTTGAGATCGATGCAATATCAAAATGATCTAAAATATATAAAAATTAATTTTTAATAAAAAAATAATTTTTTATAAAATATGGTTTTGACCGTGTTTCTAAATGAAATAAAAAAAGAGGTTATGTTTATGATTTCTCTTGAAATAGTTAAGATTATCATTAGTAGAGAGGGCTTAAAAAATGCCAACTAATTGGGATTGAATACGTGCTCTGAGGACGCGGATTTTCCTGAATCCTCTTCGTTTTTGCAATGTTGACATTGACTTCACTGCCCACTGGCTTATATATTTCCTCGAATCTTACAGGGAAAATTGGAAATTGCTAGCCATGTTCATCAAGGAAGTCGACGAGTTGACATTATACATAGTTACATACAATATACCTTTGATGGATGAAGGAAGAAGACAGGCAAATTCTCTTAGTTATTTGTTACGTAGACACAACGTTCCCCGGTTCCCGTATGATTATGTCATTGTCAAGGTCAATGCCGTCAGTGTCATGATTGCCTTTCATACCAGGCTCTATATATATATATATATATATAGAGAGAGAGAGAGAGAGAGAGAGAGAGAGTGAGAGTGAGAGTTATCAGATGAATTAAATTTGATATTGCAGGACAATTTATCGAATTTATAATATCGAATGAATAATGGATACAAACCCATTCTTAAGATGATTGTTTTTTCAAGAATATCGGGTGATTTAGAGCACGGTATTTTTTAAAAAAAATTTAAAAATTATTTTTTTATTTGAAATTATTATTTTGTTATTTTAATCTATTTATTTCAAACATAATTATTTTTTAAAAATATTATTTTGATATATTTACTAACCAAAAATATTTAATTTAAATAACAATATTTATTGCTATATCAAACACCAACTAAATGTAAACAAATTTCAGTCTTTATAAGTGCCACCTACTAATAAAAAGATAGGGATACATTTAAAATAATTTTTAACTTTGAATAATAATTTAAAATTAAGTTTTTTTTTTCATAAATTTCATAATTTTTTATGATAAAAATGAGTTTAGTAAAAATTTTAATAAAACTAATTTTTATGATAAAAATGAGTTTAGTAAAAAATTTAATAAAACTAACGTTCATGATAAGAGAAATAGTATAAGTTAGAATCAGTAAGTAAACAAGTTAAAATTATTTTTTTATCAAAATAAATTTATTTTATTTTTATAACAAACTTTAATTGAAGTTAAAAAAAAAATTTAACTAATAAATAAAGCTATAATTCTTCTTGAATTAATATTTTTAAAAATAAATTGAATCGATTTACCAAATTTGATTGTACCAGATAGAAGCAAAGTCTAAAAAAATCAACAAGGATCAAAGGCAAAAAAAAAAAAATATTAAAAAAAAAATCAGACCAGATAAAAAGATAAACTGGAGTAGCAAGAACTAAGCCAGAGTGCCGCAAGACAAGTCTTCTGCGAAAGAAAGCTATACATCGCCTTTTAACGTGTGGAACCTGCAAAATGCCCGCTGTCCGTACTCTATATCATGCGCTGCTCCTACCTCGTAGCAACGAGGGCTTGAAGTTTAAACGCTTAAATTATTAGAAAACAAATACGTTGATCAAGCCCTAGTCACTGCATAAATATGATTAGAAATTGATTTTTTTTCTGTAAAAAAAATGCTTCATTGAAGAACACTATTACATACACACTTACACTCATATTTTTATTTTGTAATACATTATACATGCAAAATCATTATTTCAAAACACAATAAATGTTCTTGAAGTAATGTCCTTCGGACATTTCTTGGCATCACCCACCTGATGATGTCCCTAGGTTCCTAATATCTGACCTTCTACTCTGGGAAACAATGGACACTACATCGACCGGGGAATTTAATATGCCGAAAGTTTTGAGGAGAAAGTTGATTGTTTTCCGGCTGATTGCTTTTTCATTGCTGTGGAACCGATTGATCACCATTCTCTGACGTTGTTTGGTCTTGGATGTTGACCCTGATCTCATTTATCACAGCTTCACCAACTTGACTGTTGGCACCTCCAGTTTTTCCTTAACGACCCAAGAAAAGAAGAAATTAAACAAGTGTTACAAAAATTAAAATAAATTTGTTCAGGTTATATCATATTATAAATTGTTTTCTGCTTGCTAACCTGCTGTGATTGCGGCTATGGCTGCTGTTCTTCTCTTGTGATGCACTAAAAATCCCACAATCGCCCAGAAAAATACGAAGATTGGAATTGTGGTTCCGAGTATCACTGGAAGCTTATTGCTCTTTTTTCTGCCTCCTGATGGAGTTGATGTAATGATAGTGCCATCAGTACTAGTTGGCTGACAGGACTTGCCGGAGACACACAAGTCTGGATTGCCTGATGCCCTGCAATTTCCCAGCACATTATGTGAGTTAATCATCGAAGTAGTAACTACATCCTGAAAATTAACGAGGCATAAGAGATTAATTTCAGTAAACCAAACTGCCGTTGCATAGGTACTTACGCAAATTTCAACTTCTTATTGCTTGATATTGATTGAGGTATGGGTCCACTGAAGGAATTGTCTGCCAAATTCCTAGATCGAAGAAAAAAGAAGGGAAAAAACGTTGTGTTATTTTGTCGAAAATGTAAAACCCTTTCGAAATTTGCTTGTCAGGGGCACGCTGTGTCCCCAGGGCTGAGTACTTTGTAAGCACTTCTGTCTCAGGGAAAGCATGCCAGGAGTTCTGATGAGAGCATTTATAAAAACCAAGAGCTTATGTGGGAAAATCTTACAGATCTTTGAGGTTAGGTAAGGCGCCAAGAAAATCCGGAATCGGTCCTGTTATGCTGTTATTATGCAAATCGCTGAAATCCAATTGGAAAACAAAAGGCTAGCAACGTGTTAGAAACCAAGAAAATATCTGAAATTAGGTCACCTCATTTACAGTTTACTTAATGATTGATATTTCACTCACATTGTCACAAGGGCATCCATGGAACTAAAATCTGGAAATGGCCCTGAAAGATCCAAGCTACTAAGGTCCCTGAAAGACCCAAAAACATCAGGAACACAAGTAAGTTTCAGCTGAACAAAGAAAATATATAAGAGGAAGTTGAACATTTTCCTGATGAGAGAAGGAAAAGATGATTTACAATGCTGTTACGCGAGGGATGGCATCGTTGCTACAACTAATCCTTTCCCATGTGTATGGAGAAGGGAGACATGGATCACCAGACCAATATTCTTGTAATACACTAAATGTGTTTTGGAGTTCACCTAAACCTTCCACTGTCAAATTAAACATTGAAGTTACCTGTCAGTATATTTTTGCAGAAATTCCAGTATTAATTGTAAGCTAATTATCAAGTGAGCTTAGCTATAGTGTGTCAAAAAGAATATGCATACCATCTTTACTATTGGTTCCATCTGTCAGGCGATCACTAACAAAAAAGACTTCCATGGCATTGATAAGTGGAGGAAGTGTAGAATCGGTGGTGGAAACCAAAGAAATTGAGGTGTTTGCCGAAGCAGTGAAGTTAGCAGACATTTCCTTCGCTGCTTCATAAGGTGGGATTATGGGCTCCGATGATTTCATGTTATCGATGTAAGCGTTGAAGGATCTTTTCTGAGTGGCATCCAGCTCGGTCACTTCAGAGAAATACAAGTTCATGTAGACTGAAACATCTTGATCTGGAAAACCAGGGTTCAAAGTGATAGAAGCAGACGTGTTAGAGGTTGTAATAGCGTTCTGCAGGACTTCTGGTGGAGGATTATCCGGTGCATTAGCAACATCGATGAGTATAGCGTCGCTTGCAACCGAAACTAGCCCGCTACCAACTCTTGCTGGAACCCAAATGCGATCATAACCATCATCCGGGAATCTGAGAAATTATCCACGACTTGTAAACACTTCACAAAAAAAACAGTAATATATAGTTCTGATAAATTAAGATTGTCAGTGATTGACCATACCTTACTGTTGTATTAGCACCATAAGCAATCCTTGACCTTAAAAACAGTGCATAATTCGGATCGACATCGCCATACATTTTAGAATCCAAGTTCCTAACCTCAAGTGCTGATATAAATGGGAACTGGTTAGGTTGTGTTTGGGCAAGACAGATGCTTGTTGTATCGCTTTTGACAACATACATTACTTCATAATATACAAGTTGATCAAGTGAGGTCTTGACAGTGGCCCAGTGGTTTCCATCAAAAAGCAGATCAAAAGATGGAGGAGATGATCTTTTGTCATAATTCCCGTAGAAGAAGCTGGCTCGAACAAGAATTAGACTGCCCTTAGCGGCTGTGACAGGGTAACAATTCTTCTTTAGAGTTGTGAACACCCTTAGAGTGCTCATTACATGCGATGCTGTATTGCTGGGTTGCACCACTTCAGACTGGCTGTTTTTGAAGAGGTCATCATCTCCTATCCACACTATAGAATTCTCGTCCGCATAAGCATCGGATGCTCCACAATCAAAGCTAACTGGAAAAGCATACATTTTGAAATATACAGTTAGGTATTTTTTTGAAAATTACAAGTGGGTTTTCCTTGAAATATGAAGACAGCAGAAAAAAAGAAGAAGAAGAAGAAGAAAGAATCTCACCATCTGCATTTCCTGAAAAAGAGAGGAGAGCTAGGAGGAGTAACAACACAAGACAACCAGCCATGATCAGCACTGAGAGGGGCTAGACACAAGGCAAGAAGAGGCCTAGGTTATGTCAAAATATACATGGACATCACTTGATATTGAATTTAAGCTAGGTGGTCTGATTATAATTTATTTATTTTAATTAATTTCTATAATGTATACTTTTTAGTTCTGTCCTCGGGGAATGCTAAGTGGTCTGGTCTTCATCCCGTGTCCGCTGTTCACGGCCGTATCAATTCAGATTGAAAGTGGTTTGCGGCGGCCTATGATTGATGACTTTATTAGCTAAGGTATATTTCCATGGACCCTTGACTTGTAAAGTTCATAGTGATCTCACTGCTCAAGATTCATTTTCAGTACATTGGATTATCCAGTTAACTTATGAATTACGTTATTATTTTTATTAAAACACTATTGTTTTGTTTCGATTTTTTAAATTTCTCAGCAATTAAATATGTAATATTTGTAATTGTAATAACTTTTCAAAATAAAAATACATTAAAATAATATTTTTATTTTTTAAAATTTATTTTTAACACTCATGAAGACCATCTAAAATTACAAATTTAAACCAATCATACTCGGTAAAGCTCAAATTAAAGTCTTCCGGATGGAATTTAATAATTTCTTCTTGTCATGATTTCGTTTTGGAAGTTGACATTGACTCGGCTGCTCACTTGTGCCCAAGGTCGACGAATTTTACAGGGAAAAGGGGGAAATGCTGGCCATGGGCGACAAGTCAATAAGCCAGACATAGCCATGGGCGACAGTCAATAAGCCAGACATCAATAGATACGCGCTTTGAAAGTTGAATCTGGACAAGGTATCTGGGAAGGAGAAAATGGGAGGCAAAAAAGAAGAGGAGGAAAACAAGTTTTTGGAATGTCCAGAAGAAAATAAAATATTAGCTTTTGTTCAGAATTGGAAACTGATTGAGGAGGGAATGGGTTTTCTCATAGCTTGCTGCCTTGTTATGGTGAGTTGAAAACCGTAGTTCTTGGTGGTTCATTTGCTTACCTGAGTGTAGAGTTAAGTGATTTCAGTACAGAATGTTATTGTAGTAGAGTCGTGGTTTTCAAAAAAAAAATTATTTTATTTTATTTTAAATAAATTTTTTATATTTTTAAATAATGTGATAATATCATAAATAAATTTTTAAAAATAAAAAAATATATATTATTTTAATATATTCTTAAATAAAAAATATTTTAAAAAACACTCATTAATATAATATTAAACATTACTTTTATAGCTGCTGATTACAACCTCCTAGAGTAGGTTATTAGTGGTGTTATTTTTAGTCTTATCGTAAACATTTTACGTTATTATTTGGAGTTATTTGAGAATATATTTGAAATTATTTTTTTAAAATTATTTTTTTATATTTAAAAATACATATTTTTTTATGTTTTTGGATTGTTTTAAATATTGTTTTTAAAAATATTTTTTTAAAATAAAAAATTATTTTAATACATTTTCAAATAAAAAATACTTTAAAAAAATATTATTACCACTTATCCAGATATCCCCTTACATAAGATGTGTATTAAAAGTTAAAAAAGAAGTGCGGATATATGGTGGATCAACCCAAATTAGACTAAAAATTGTTTTAAATTGTTCTTTGTTTTTCTAATTATTTTCAAATTTATTTTTGAATTTTATTTGGTTTAGGTTTCATTAACTATATTTTAGCTCCCAACAATTTTCTTTCTTATTTTTTCATAAGAGTAAAACAATTTATGATTGTTGACTTTCAAATTCAAATCATGAGTTTTTGTTATATTTTAATTCTTAGTTTTTTTCTAATCGCTATACATACATTGTGTCGAACACCCCCTCCAACCACTGACCTTGTATCATTAAAATATAGCGTATATATTAGATAGTTAAAAAAAAAATTATTCCACATTATCTTATTATGTGAGAGATACCAAATTAATAAATTTGAATATCGAAGAAAAGATTTGGAGGGAAAGCCAATATATATATATATATGAGATAAAATTTGGCATTATATAACATAAATTATTATTATTATTTTTAAAATTAATTAATCTAATAATTATACATGACACCTTCTCTAAAATTGTTCAAATAATTTGAATGAAAACTTATCTTCTAAACTTTCTAAACTTTATAGATGTATTAGTTTAAAAAGGTGTAGCTTTAAATTTTACAGATATATTAGTTTAAAATTATATTATTTTATTTATAAATATCAGTTTGATATTTAATGTTGCCATAAATTAATTAGAAACAATCTTGTTATCTCTCTAATTTTTCTCTACAAACTTTTTAAACTCTTTGTTTATGTTTATTAGAAACAAATCAGAACTTTTTATTAAAATCATAGAAATTGTTTCCTATAAGATTAAAGCATTGGATATAGATATATTACTTTAACTTTATAGCAAATATAATAGAAAAAAATAATCTTCCCGCCTTAAAATCTGTTTACTAAACCCACAAACATTACACAGAGTGAGTTCTATATTACAGCCCACAGCCATCCTGATGACCACGGCCACCTTGACCCTATTGCTGTTGTTGTTTCTATTCTTACTGGCGTTCTTGCTGTGCTTAGCACCAAAGCTCGTCGTGATTTAATTACATTACTTCCATTGTGCTCGTTGCAGTGATTGTCTTCATCATTATTGCTGGCCTTGCTAAAGCAGATGCTGAAAACTACAAACCATTTATGCCATATGATGTCGGTGTTATTTTTGTTGGCTCGGCTGCGCTGTTCTTTGCTCATGTTGGATTTGATGCTGTTTCCACAATGGCTGAAGAAACCGAAAATCCTGCTCGAGATAATCCCTATCGGACTAGTGGACTCAGAGACGATAGTTACAGTGCCATGTTGTTTGCTAGCAGCAACATTGTGCCTACTGGTAAGTGGTACCACACAAGCAGCTTGATGGAGAAGCTGCATTTTCTTCAGCATTTGACCATGTTGGTTTGAACTGGGCAAAGTACTTTGTTGCTTTGTGTGCATCGGCAGGCATGACCACAGCTTTGCTCGTTTCAGCTGTTGGCCGGGCTCGGTATCTCGCACACATTGCTTGAACTCACATGATGCCCCCATGGTTAGCTCATGTCAATGCAAAGACTGGGACACCAGTAAATGCCCCTGTTATTATGCTTGGTGAACCAGCTATAGTCTCCTTTTTCACAAAGCTGGATATTTCCACCTCCACATTATTTATCTTCACACTTTGGGCGGTGGCCCTCCTATTTCAGGCCCGTCACAACACCGGGAGCAGGTGGTGAGGAGAGATCTGCAAACCCACAGTTGAAGCCTTATTGCACCTGCAATCCTCATTGCAAAACTATTTGGGGAAAGACAACCTTTACTACAAACATTACACAGAGTGAGTTCTATATTTGGGGAAAGACAACCTTTACCAGCTTCAAAACAAAATGCAACTGAAACACCAGCCTCTTCTGCTGTATCCAGAAGCAAGTACAACAAACAATCATCAGTTCAATGTAATCCATATTTTTCTTTTTAAGCCAAAAGACCATGTCCATATTATTGATAGCACCAAAATATTAAATAACCAAGTTGTTGAGGAAAAACCAGAGAGAAACAGAGGCAGCTGTTCATGCAATAATCAGAACATATTGAACAATAACACAACACAAGACAACAGAATATAATACTCCGGCAACAGAGATGGTTGGAAGCTCCGAAGGGCGACTTCAAAACTCCAGCAAGTCATCACCATTCACAGGATTGTTAACATTTCCATCCCAGAATAAAAAAACTACAGATCAATACAATCCAGCTTTTAAATGCAATACAGTCTCATAAGCTCCAAATTCACAAATTTTTTGTACCAGAAACAAACAAAATGCTAAAGGTGCAAAATCAATTCCAGATACATTTCTACAGAGGACAGAAAATTGAAAACCAAAAGGTGATTAGTGAATTTGTTATCCTCAAGCTCCTTAGTAAGGTAACTAGAGTATCAAATTGATTATATACATCTTACTGTACAAGCTGATAGAATATTATGCAAAACAGACACTATCAACACCATGTTAAGCGACACTAACATAGAGTTACCATCTTCTAGACTTGCTGCACTCTTCGGTGAAGGTATCAGAGTCTCTGAATAACATTAACTAGCTATAAGATTATCAAAGACAAAAACTAAATTAAGCTTGTACATCTTATGCTCAATTTTCAAACCTGTTATCTATTCGTTCAAGCAGCTCGTTTTCATCCCATTCTTCAAATGTTCACTTTAGTAATGCAAATTTCTGCATGCACTGTAATTTGAAGTTCGAAAGTTATCAGAAATATTTTTTTTAAAAAAAATAAAGTTCGAAAGTTATCAGAAATATTTTTTTAAAAAAAATATCTTAGATACATTTCTGAATAAAATATATTTTAAAAAGTAATCATGGCCTCTTATTCAAATATCCTCTTACATAAAATGTGTATTAAAAGTTTAAAAAGAAGTGTGGATATATGGTGGGTCAACCTAAATTAGGCTAAAAAATGTTCCAAAATTTTCTTTGTTTTTCTAACTATTTTCAAATTTATTTTTGAATTTTATTTGGTTTAGGTTTCATTAACTATATTTTAGCTCCCAACAATTTTCTTTCTTATTTTTTCATAAGAGTAAAACAATTTATGATTGTTGACTTTCAAATTCAAATCATGAGTTTTTGTTATATTTTAATTCCTTAATAATGCCACCTATCTCCGGAAGCGTAATATTAAAAGGATACTGGAATGATCGGAAAATAATAATTCGTTAGTATAATATTAAAATGTTTTTTATTTTAAAATATATTAAAATAATATATTATATTAAAATGATATGAAAATATATTAATTAAAAATAAAATAAAATAAATATTTTTTTTTCAAAAACACTTTTCAACCCTAATATTTAACACTGCAGACTTGATCTAATTTTATTATTATAAGTTACATAATTTAATGTAAATTTATTATAATTTAATTAAAATAATATTATTTTATTTTTAAATAAAAAACTACAAGATGAATTCTCTCTATAATTTTTTAAAATATGACACTAGCTGAGTTTGAAATTGAGTCACTATACTACTTTAAATTTAATAATACGAGTAGGTAATCCTGGGTCTATTGTTCACATTAATTTTATTTTCGTTTTTAAATAATAATTTTCATCAATTTTTTAAGTTTTTTTTATCCATATTATAATTTTTTTCAGTGAAAAATGATGTTATTTGTAAGTAACTTAATGATTTTTAGCAATTGATTCTAACATAAATCTAAAACGAGAAATCAAATAATTTGGAAATAAAATTAATAAAAAAAAGTATTTTGAAAGAAAAACTGATGGGGGATCGGGAAACAGATAAGAAAAAATAATTGTGACATAAAATTGATATTTTTGATATTTTTTGTTTTTTGTAATGAGTGCTTATAAGCAAGAAAACATGAAATTCTAGTTTAACAGCCTAGAATTAAGGGGAATATTTAGTATTGTGACGAAGAATAATTTTTATTTGAGAATATGCATAAATATTGTTTTTCAATTTTTTTTATATTAACACTTTAAAATAATTAAAAATACTAAGACATATCTATTTAATATTTTTTAAAATTAAAAATATTTTTTAAACACATCTTAGCACAATTCCAAATGAAAAACAAACGATAACATGGAAGGATAAGTTGTAAATCATCCTAATCAATTACCAATTTTTAAGAATTTATTTTTTAAAAGAAATATAATTAATTTAAATATTTTTATTTACCCTATCTATTTATAACTTTTTTTTTATTAATATAGTCTCTAAATCAGCTTATGTGTATTTTAATTAATTTTATAAACTCTGAAATTAATAACTTTGTAAGATTTTAATGATCCTGAAACTTGTAAAATTCAAACTAATAACTTATAAGAAGTTAATAAAAAACCTAACTAGTTGAGTTATACCCAAGAACTTATAACATTTTCTTCTTTAATTGTATGGTTAAAAATAATATGGTAAATAATTTTACTATTTTTTTTATTGTATTGTTTAAAATTGAAATGTTATTAAAAATATTTTGTCAATTAGTAAAATATAATCAATTCAAGTTAATTGGATTACATTGCATTAAATTGTAAGATGAATGCAATTAAAAGTTTCAAATATATTTAAGAAATGAAAAAATTAGGCAATTTAGAAACCTGATATTTTCTGCACCTACTGATTAGTCAAATGTATTCTATTTCCACACCTTGTAAACACTTTCTTTACTAATTTATCACTACAATCTACCTTTGGAACCCGTGGGAGGTGGGACCAATTTCGTGTCACGCAAGGTAGCAAATTAGTCCTCTGTTAATTAGGAAGACGATGATCGTTGCAGTGGACATGGGAATTCCATGCTTGGTGTGCTAATCAGAAGGATAGAAATTTTACCTTTACAAGCAATTTCATGGAAATTGCTTCCCAGCATCATAGCTTTCAACTGGTTCTCAATCCATTGTTGTTGACTGATGCCTGGTTCATCATAGCATACAGGGGGCAAAAGCATTTAAGATTAAGGAATCACAGCCAGGCTCTCCAAATATGTTCCAATGATTGCCAGGGTTTACGTTATTATAGTAGGAGCTGGACTGAATGGAGGGCAGTGAAACTACGGGATGTCCACCTGATCAACAAGCACCTTGATTCATAAACAGCCTGTTTCACTGGATCACAGAAGCAAGTTGCCAAAAACAATCATTTCAATTCAATATTGATGAAGTGTGGGAAAACTTCAAAGGATTACGAGCCTTTCCATGGCTGCTCGACGGGCTGTGGAGATTGAACCCTTGAAGGTGGCTTCGGTTTTTTTAAAATTCATATTTTTAATGTTTAGTAATATGATAAAAATAAATTGAAAAATATTTTCTAGTATTTGATTATATCATAAAAAATAAGTTGAAAAATAATTTATTTTTTTTAAATAATGAGAAACGAATCTTACAGATTAAAAAGTTTAATAAGAATGAAATTAAAAAAAATATAAATTTCATAAATTATCTTAAATAAAATAAATAATAATAAAAATAATAAAAAT